TTTACTTGAATTATTGTTTTATGGATACGGGGATCCATCTCTCTTTCTCTGGTTATCAAAAATTTTTGACATTTTTCACAATATAGGAATCTTCTCACTGTAATTTACACATTTCATAATGTTTTTAATATAATTTTCTATGTGAGATGTTAATCGTTAAAATAAGAATGGTGTATGTATTGTAAATAAGAAAGTATACGTACATTATGTCATATTTAATTACTAGAAGGATTACTCATGTAAAAATGTTAAATATCTAATACGAAATATTGTTACATTTATTGCAATTATGATATAGAAAATATGATAGAACATTAAAATAGAAAGATGCTTCTAACTTCATATATTAGCATTATTGGCAAGTACTCAATTAGCTATATTGTCTATCAATATCCAATTTCATTATATTTTTATGTTATAATAGCACAATATTTTCCTTTTTGTTTTTATATGTACGAAAGTACTTTCGACTTTTTCTAATTTGAAATATATTTCTGTTTTGTACTTTATGCACATAATTAATTAAGATTGGCGAATGTTTCAGGAACAGGCGCAACAGAAAACTTTCCACTTTCTCTGCTCAAGAGAAGCAAATAGTAAATATACGTATGAAAAATTATCAGTTAGAAAAAATTTCTGTAAAATATTAAATAGGTAAAATTTATTATGTAGGTGTAGTGCACATTTAATACAAAGTTTGTAAAATACATACATATTCATATTTCATAATAAAAGGATAACAACGAAACATAAATTTTGGTACTGTCCATTCGTTGTTCAAATATGAAATATAATTAGAAGATAATTAAAGTATCGCGATTTATTGCTATAGGCGTCAGTTTGATATATGATAACTGATAAAAAGTATTCTCAATGCAAATACAAAACGACATTTAATATAACGAAATTCTTTATTTGTGCATAAGAAGAATTATTGTATAACATAAATAAATTCTTCCATTTGAGCATACCTATAAGATTAATTCGTAATACTTGGATGTTGATCACACGATGAAGTGATAAACATCTCACAAGACTGCGTCTTCACTCGATATATAAATATTATTTGCCAGCAAATAATACACGATCAACAAATATTGGCGTTAAAATTCTCTTCACTAAGGAACATAATTTGATAATTATAAGCTTTATATTTCTGGGGGCGGTCCATACATGGGATTTAATTGTTGCGTGCAGCGTATGAACGTAGCTCGTCGCGGCAGTTCGCGCAAACGCTCAGCTCCGATGTAAGTGCAAGCGGACCTTAGGCCGCCCAAGATATCCAACACAGTGTTCTCGACCAAACCTCTATAAGGCACTTCGATAGTTTTACCTTCCGAAGATCTAGAAATATTTCGTGCGTGTACAATTTTTGCCATGGATTTTGCTTTTTTAACATGTGTCACTGCGCGACAATCGTCGCGGACTCACCTGTAGTCCGCGACACCGCCAGCGTGTTTCTTCATGGCTGTACTGGATGACATCCCATAGAAGTATTTGAATTTTTTCCCGTTCTTTTCTATAATCTCGCCCCCGCATTCGTCATGACCAGCGAATATTCCGCCTGCCATGACAAAATCCGCACCTCCGCCAAACGCCTTCGCCAGATCTCCGGGACAGGTACACCCACCGTCCTAGACAAGGAATATCAATGTAAACGTAAGATGCTTATTTATACCAATTATAACAGAGTATTACGAATATTTACAGCGATAATGTGGCCCTTCAAGCCGTGCGCTGCGTCCGCGCATTCGATCACGGCGCTCAACTGCGGATAACCCACGCCGGTCTTCATTCGCGTGGTACACACGGAACCTGGACCAATTCCTACTTTAATTATATCCGCTCCGGAGAGTATCAGTTCTTCCACCATTTCTCCTGTCACAACATTTCCTGCCTGTAGCGGCAACAATTAATCCTTTGCGTTGAAATATCGAAATAATGTAAATAAATATTAACACTTAAGTATAATAGCCGAAAAAACGTCGTTATCCCTATCCAAAAGATAACAAGACGACCGGATACTTACAATTATAGTGTGGCTCGGATATTGTGCCCTAACTTTTCTCACATATTCCACAAAGTGTTGCGTGTATCCGTTTGCAACGTCTAAGCATATGAATGACAATTCCGGCACGGCCTCCAGGATACTCGAGAGCCGCTCGTAATCCTCATTTCCACTCCCCGAGCTGGCCGCTATATTCTTTATGCAATCGGGATTTAGCGTAGCAAAGCTTTTCCATTCATCTGCGGTATAATATTTATGAACCGTAGTAAAAAGACCATGCTAAAAGAATGCGGACAATAAGTAAAGCGATGCAACTCACATCGAAATGTTATTTTACTTATACACACACGAATACGATTAATAATAATCATACAACCAATCTTGTAATTTGTTTTTGTATAGGTGGATGCAGGATTTGTGTGTATGTGTGTAGGGGGGGGAGGGAGGGAGAAGAAAGGATTTGAAAAGAATTTACCAAATTCCACGAGGAGGGAGTTTTTAAGATTAGATACTTTAAGATTAAATTTATTTCTGTACCTTTGACAAAGCTTTTGCCATCTCAAACGTTCCAATCGTGTCCATATTAGAAGCCATCACAGGAATTCCTCGGTACGTTTGTTTAGAATTGCGAAATGTGATCTCCCTGAAGAGATCCACCTGAAATATGAGTCATCAAAGGAGATATTAATATTATTTTCATAATATATTATTTTCATAACGAAGTTCATTTATTTACCGATGTTCATTTATTTAACTCGTAAAAAATAAAAAATATTTAATTCATTTAGTTAAATAACAATGCATATAAGTATTATCGTTGATAATTTTTCAACGCGCATTAATATAGCGTTAAAATCAAATAGTCAATTGCTTTTATTATCTCAGCGAAAATAAAAATCGAAACTTGAGGGTGGCGTAAGGGTGAATGAAGCTTCTAATATTTTCTGTCTCATTTCTATCAGCAATTGATTTTAATTTTTACAACTTTTGGTTTCTTTATTTTTTTTTTCTAACTTTGAAAATTAAGAAAGGACGAAAAGTGAAATAAACCGAGATTGAAGTTAATTTACATCACAGGTAGAAATGTCATGAAACGTTCACGACTTCCGGCGCTCACTCGCGCTCCGATCTTCCTCCTCTCGCCAGGGTGATAATCCAATCGACGTTGATTTCTACGTGAGTAAATAGAAACACGAGCGATCGTCGGTGTGAAACAGCGATACCGATGAGGGTGATCGACGAGGAGGACGTACACTCGCGAGAATTAAATCAATAAGGAAAGTCCAACTCTCTGAGGAGAGCACCGTAAATCGCGCGAACGCTCGGCAGAGCGGATAATCGAGGAGCAATCGAGCAAAATCTATCGAGCATGATTCCCACAAAATTCAAATTCAAACGAAATCGAATTTGAAATCGAACATACTTGCTCCTGAGGAGGAGGAGAAGGACACGTCTCGCGGTATCACGCGGCGGATAACGTCGCGGATTCTTTTTTCTTTTTTTTTTCTTTCCTGTATCTACCCGTCCCCGTCCCTCTCTCTCTCTCTTTGCTCTCATTGAGAGGCACTTTGTTCTCGGACGCGACGCGATCGGAGGGAAACATTCGCGATTTACATGTCAATTATATAAAGACAGCGCACTCACGTCCGATCGGCTCTTCAGCGTGCTTCGTTTCGGACGGAGCAGCACGTCCTTAAAGTCCAGCTTTATGTCATTAATTATGTTCGGCATCCCGGTGAAGCTGGACCACCGCTCGTGAACCTGAAAGGTCTAGCAGACGACTCTACCCGCTCCGCTCTTCTCTCTCTCTCTCTCTCTCTCTCTCTCTCTCTCTCCCTTCTCTCCTACTGAGCCTCGCACTGGAACCAAGCACTGAGGAGAAAACTCGTGATCACTCGTGACCGCGGACGTTCTTGCACTGGCTGGTATTGCTGGGGTATACCGATATACCCAGGCCTCGTTTCAGTGGCGACGTTCCAGGAAGGGGGAGGGAGCTATTTTCGTCTCTCTCTTTCCCACTCTCCCCCTCTCTCTTTCTCTCTCTGTTTCCTCTTATTGAACCAGGGCAGTGCGGTTCGGAAGGCGCTTCAATATACATTTCTACTAATACAGATGAACTTTAATCTTGGTTCAACCGTTCTTATCTTTCTTCATAAAATTAGGAGAAAACGAACCCCTTGTTTCGAGGGTTGAAAAAATGATTCTCGTTTTTTTCAGACGAAGCAATATCCGTCGATGAGCGATGAGTTTATTGCACTTTATAGTTTATTTTTTATATAAAACGTTTTCCACGGCGATTACCATTTCCGTCAGATTTCCTCATCTGCACTGCGCGTTTTTAACTCCGCCGTTTTATCATTCTGGATTAACGCCAACGTCATCGGTGCATTGCGTAAAATTTCCAATCTTGCAATCGTAAAGCCATCCCTGCGAATATATGCGTGTATGCGTGTACCCGTGTATGTGTGCGTGCAATTTACTAATGTTGTAGATAACATATCAGACCGTCTAGACAATATGTCTAGACGACTGAGGAAATTGTCATTTCTCAAGTCAAACGTTTACGCTTGTGCACTGAAGTACGATCGGTTTATAAAACTTTATTTCAATAATTTTTTACTGCATTCTACGTGATGCCTCATTTAATAATTAAAAATGGAAACTCGAACTGTAAATATATATTTTCGTTAATATACATACATACATACATGCATATATAAATATATATATGTATATTGTTTATTTTATTATTATTAATATATTGTTTATTTAATTTTAATTATATATTTGTAAATATATATCTTAAATTACATAAATATTTTTTGTTCATGTTTCTTTTATTGTATTAAAATATTATGATATTGAGGTAAAAAAGCTTATTGCCATAAACGAGGTCAATTTTGGCCATTTTTATACTCCGTCCTTCGTAACATTTAACATCAGCTAATTTACATTGCTTTTAAGAAAGATTTGTTTGGATTAGAAATCATGGACAAAGAGATTAGAGATCGTTATGATGTCAATATAGAACGACATTAAATTTTTGTCATATTATGTTTTTTTTCCATTTAATTCTGCAATATTTTTCCTTTAATTCTGTAACGTTTTATTGCTAACTCGGTGCAGATGGTATATGAAAATAATAAACATCGCTGAGAAGTTATTTCTACAAGTGTGCATTAACCTCTGTGCATAATCAATATATTTCAAATATATAGATATACAAGTATTTTTTTAAATTCTGATTCCAGACGCATTCCATTCACAGAAATTGCGTACGAGTGTATACTAAATACATAATTCTTTTCTAAATCTACAATGTACATCATGATGAATGTCTTAAAGTTTAAACAATGGCACTGTAGAAACGGAATGACAATTGGAGAATGTAAGATAACATAACAATGGCCTTGTCGCGCAATTATTTTACAGAAGAAAATTTCACAACAAACCGGAACGCAATCATTGAGGTAGATACAACACATATATATAATTTAAAAAAAAATTGTACTGCATTAATAAAACTATATTTTCAAGGACAAATCATGCTCGTTTCTTTCAGATTGAAAGATTTTTCTAGTCAAGGCGATTGCTGCGTAATTAAAAATTTCGCGGAGAATTAAAAATTTGATTTTGATATATACTAGCATGTAACATGCGTTTCCAACTTTTGTAAAAGATAGCAAGAAGGCACTGAAAATAAAGACTGGCTAGATCCCAGTTTACTGGCAGTTACGCGGGGGCAGTGTAAGGAAAACAGGGAGAAGAAAAAGGGCCATTGTTTACATGTTTTTAAATTCACCAGAACCATTAGCGTTGAGCATGAGTATGTTAGGATTTTCCTTTTCGAAGGCAGTCGCGTCTCTACCTCCGGGTCTCTCTTCTTGTCCCCATTCTCCCAGAGTCCCGTGCATCACGTCAGGTTGTTCCTTCAGTTTTTGCTCCTCCTTCTGTGACATTAAGCCTGTTCTTTTTAGCTGAACTTCTTGCACTGTTCATCTTTTTTCTTTATTTTCTCTAATACAAGAAAAAAAGGAAAGATAGACCGTGCAAGAAGTTTAGCTAAAAAGAACAGGCTTATTACCCATGGTTCATGGTTAAACGCAAACACATCGGTAAGTCGATTTCTTCCCAAGATTTATTTGATTTAAATTAATCAGCCTTTATATTCGCTCGTAATATTCATAACAAATGCAGAGTTTACATGAGATTTGCCGTGAGATATTAAAACATGAATAATATGATTAATATCTGGTGTGATATTGAAGACTGGTGAGGTAATTCTCGTTTGAAATGACTACACGATTTATAATGAACTTCACGACCAACACCAAACGGATACGAAAACTCGGCACATAAAAAAGTACAATCAAAAATGATATTATCGTCATTATTGCTTTTCACAAACCTGCTTATCTTCCTGTGCAAATTTATCAAACATATTCGCGTAAAGTTTCTTCTCCTTATCTAATTGCTTCTTAATAAGAGATTGACAGATTAAAATTTGTTTAGACGCGGCCGTGTTTTTCGGCTGTATTTTTAGAACCTCTTGAAAATCCTTAATAGCAACTTCTGGCGATCCAAGCCTGATATTAGCCAGTCCTTTTCTAAACAGTGCCTTCTCGTTTAGCGGATCCACTTCCAGAGCTTTGATACATTCGTTTTTGGCCAAGTAAGGTTCATCAATTTTCTGATAACATAAGGCGAGGTTTAAGTGAGTCGCTATTAAGAGATTATCCCTCTCCTTTTTCAGATCGGGATCATTTTCAAAATCCGCTGCAACGTTCAAATACTTGTGAACTTTCGGCAACACTTTAATGGCTAATTGAATTTTATCAGACGTCAGGTATTTCGTTGCTTTTTCTTTTTGCATCCTCGCTTGTTCTATTTTTTCTGATGCTTTCATCGACCATATGCTTGTTTCCTGTAACAAGTATTGTTCAGTAATTAATAAAGTTGTGGAATTAAAAGCAATTTTCGCGTCTCTAAGAATTATAATATATATTACCTTCTCAAAGTTCTGTAATTCTACTTCATATTCAACATCTGCGTTCGGTGGAATATTATAATCTGGATTTCCTTGTTCCTTAAATGCATATTTACTTTTAATTAGTAACCTAGATTTCTCGCCACTTAAAAAGCGCTGTAGCGCTATTTCTACACCTTCCACTATTCCCACCCCTTCTCCTTCGCCAAGAATAAATTCTACGTCTCTATCTTCGAATACTTGATCGTTGTACTTTCCAACAATGTGTACTAAGGGCATGAAGCTTGTTAGATAAAGTATGTAACATAGTTCATGTTTATGCTGAATTGTAATACTAACTCTTTACATTCGAGCCTTCCCCTGGATTATCATAATTTTTGCCAGCAGTAATTTGGAATCTCTGGATGCTTTTATCTTTACCCGGACTCAAATCTTCTCCATGCCATTCAAGCAATTCAATCTAGAAAAATATGTGTATCTTGAAATTATTTTCCAATTAATATATAAATTTTATTAAATTATATATATGTATACACACACACACACACACACACACACACACACACACACACACACACACACACACA